AATTAATGACAAAAATCGTAAGAAACATGATTGCACTGCTTTAAAAATCACTCTGATTATATATTGTATGTACTTTGCAGGAGTGGAAGCGGCAGTGCGGCAAAGGCATCCTTGCCGACTGGATTGTGAAGAGTTGTGTCAACTTCGAGGAAGAAGCATAGGCACGTGCGTCAACGGTTTATGCAACTGCAGAAGCGGCAAAGGAACGTGATCTTACAATGACAAATATTTGTTTCATTTTCAGAGACGATATTTGTGTGTAAACAAATAGTAAAGACTGTAAATTATTTCACGATTTAATTAGTGTATTAATAAAATAATAAGATTATAATAATGTAGTATATTTATTTAACCTTTTTTTATAGTAACGTATACTGCTCATTCATAATCGCTGCACTTTAATTTGTTCCGGCTACTGCCAATAAAAATAAAGGTAATAGTGGGTACATGAATGTACCCACTGCTGTGTTGTTTTGTCAGGACTTAGTAGTTAAAAATGTTCCGAGTATATAGTCAAGTTTCGGTTGCGGAAAGTATTAGAAAAAAAATTATATTTATAATTTCATAATGAAAACTATTAAATAATCTTAACCTTATAAACAGATCCAACCGCGGTTGGATAATTTTTATAAGCATGGCAATAATGTTTCTGTTACGTGGGATTTTACTAGGAATTTATTGTCAAAATTTGAGAATTAAGTAGTAATAACAGCTACTGTCGATATAATATTGACTGTCAATTAGTTTAAAAATACATGAGTAGCCATGATAAATGGGTACGTTTTATGTATATCAAAACATTTCAAATTACCAGGTTATATAATTAATTTAATTAAGATTATGGTGATTGATCACACATAACAATATACAGCGTGCGTTTGATGCAAATGGGAGTTAATATCAACGTAAAATAAATAAGATTAAATTGACAAATTATTCATATCATACAAATATAAACCAGATAGTAGATTCGTTAATATATTAATGCAAATAACATATGTTACCTGTTTATGTTTTTCAATATAGTACCTTTTCAATGTTTAATTGAGCATCCGTATTTAAATAAAATTATTTTTAAATATGCAATTATTTTTATGGTATCATTGATAATTTTACAGTTACAATATTGAACGATTCAATCATGACATAATAGTCATAATACAACAGCCATAATATTGATGAATATTTAATTTGGACTTAAGTAGTATTAATTAAGAAAAGGTTATAGGTAAATAACTAAATATATCAATATTATATTGGCTAAACGGGTTTGACACGAGTGTGTTATTTCTGAATAAGGTTGAATTTTAAAGTTTCAGTTTACCAAAGAGGATAAATACAGGTTTATGTCCGCCATTCTGTCCTCGTGGTATAGTTTCTTTCAATAACAATTTTGTATCCCTTATTTCTACTCTTTCAATCCCTTATTTCGCCTTAAAAGGTAACCTTTGTCCTTTTCCAACGTTAACTATATCTCTGTTCCTTTCATTTAAATTGGTTCGGTTGTTTAGATCTCACAGTTAATATACAGAGAGAATTAATCACTTTCACGTGTATAATATTATGTAAGGATGAACTTTTCTATATTGCCTTGGTTCTGGGTAATGTGGTAAATTATTATTTCAGAACTCTATAATTTAAGATTAGAGCGCAAATTACAACTTAGTGCAAGATTTTAGCATGGGATTTGATACAGCGCCCCTAGTTTAATTACCAATTACTACTCCATACAAACTTCTTAACGCGCTCTCTAGTGAACGCGTTAACGTAAAACGTTGATATGCTATTTTGCTAAAAATAGCCTCAAACTCGACGACGAACGTGGCGCTGTTATAGAGTAAATCTTTATTCACTTATCGACTATCAATACATTTACTAATTTTCATGTTTATTGTGGTATCTATTTCAAAGTCAAAATAATCTTTTTTAAAATAAACTTCTTTAAAGTATTTTTGAAACGTTCAATATCTATTTTTTTCTCTATCACTCGTTCAGGACGTCTTTTGGTTGATAAGAAGAACGTGCAAGTAACTCACCAGCTCTAATGGGAGTAACGACATTCACAAAACAATGTCAGTGCCAAATCAATACACTATGAATTTAAAAAAAATATGATCTTATAATGATAACATAATTATTTAATAATGGCAACAAGGTAATAATTTTAGAAGAAATTACCTATCCAGTTGTTGGACCACCTTAAGTCCAAGCATTCTTATCTGTTATATAATCAGATATCTTATAATAAGTTTTTTACTAATTATTTGTGATATATAATGATTGTATTTTGCTTGGCTTTCATAAATCGTAATATTATGATAACGTGGAATTCGATTGGTATCACACTTCGTATTTAGATCCCGTACTTCAACCCCTTTAAGCCTATTAGTCGCAATAAAATTATCCTTTGTCCTTTCTCAGGGTATACTCAATTTGTGTACCAAAAACCATCTGGTAAAAACCTAACACGGACATATTTACATTCGCATTTATATTAGTTTATTATTTTTCAATCGCTTAATACGCAAAAATGCACACACTTTTTTTAAACAAAGACTCATAGTTTTATGAATACCTAGAATATCTAACGTAAACGTGGCAAGATAGTTAAAGCAAGATTTCAAAATAACCTGTAGCAACTCGCGAGACATATTATGGTGCTTACGGTTGGCTCTGAGAAGTTCTTCTTGTCGAGTAAATGTCTCAGACTCGCGAGATATAGCATTACGTGCACGGTCAGCTGCTTTACATTGCAACTTTTTTACATTGAGTAAGAGTCACAGACTATAATTATTATATATGAATTTAGCCAGTATTTAACTGCCACCGCCTTCACCGGGTCAGTTATTTCCAGCATATGTTAATTAATATGTTTTCAATGTTTTATTATAACACCTTTTCAATGTTTGATGACCATGAGAAGAATAAGAAAAAAGATGATCCCCTCCTTACCAATGGGGGGTTACTTTAAAAATCAAATGTCTTTCGTCATCAGAAAGTGGTCATCATCCTGAACAATTTTTCATCCTAAACTATAAGAATATAAGACGTTATATTCGTATAGTTTAGTTAAGGGTTTCACTGCAGCTGAGGCAGATCTTCAATTTTTTTATATTAATAGAAAATATTTATCATGTTGGATAATTTTTCCTGAGGCGTTATACTTGTATATCTCATGGTTTAGTTGGCCAGCTCAGCAGTTGTTCCAGATCTTCGATTTTGTCCTCCGATATCCGATAGGAACACTACGGCACGTGCTAAGTGTAACGCTATCAATGTGGCGAACCTACTGAGTTTCCATTAAGTTCTGTGCGTGTAAATTGTTAATTATTTTCTGGTGAATTGATTCGGACTATAATAATAAAAGTGTAAGACTTCCAAAGCAACTTTTATTTTGAGCGTACTGCCATGCACGATCCGTCTGTTAACGGGAATTCCTATCTTACTATTTTATATAGATTATCATGTTATCTATCATACCGACAATCTAGTTTAAACTGTTTCAATGACTGATAACCCATTCATAATTTGATTCTTTATATTGGTATCTAGTATACCTGCCACCAGCGACTTCGTCCTCATGGGAAGTGTTTATTTGGAGTCGATTCATATCATGAACACATGACACTGATATAATTACAATGACAAATGAATTAGTTATGGTTACTATGGTAACGTTTTATTCCCTATACAAACTTCCACTACCATTTTCATTTATCGCTTTATTTGCTGTTTTCCGGGATAAAATATAGGCTATGTTTACCGCATATGATGGTGATTCCAGTAGGTTAAAGAATCAGTCCAGTAGTTTTGGAGCCTATTTGTTAAAAACAAACAATCAAATCTTACCTCTTTATAATATTAGTATAGATATAGATAACATACAATAATATCGTTATATATGTGTACGGTTCCGTACAATTTTGCCTTGTTTACATAATTATTGAGGTCATCATTCACTTTACGTTATTGATTATTATATTAATAAAATGAGTGCGAATTTAGCAACCGTGTATAACTAACGTCCAGTAACAACCACTTTAACTTACTTTACTGTGTACGTGAATAAATGGTGTTAAATTATCTCAAGATTTCATCTTTCTGCACTCCACAACTCTATATAAACAATACTACTCCAGTAATTACAATACCCAACTAACACCGTCTGTACAGCATTACAAATTGTACAATATGACTATCGTGTTGCTATCTTTTTTATTGAGAATCACTTAGTGATAGGACTCTAATCATATGTATTAATAAATAAAAACATGATAGTTACATAGTCGAAATTGGGCATCATATATAGAAACAATAACAAGTTGATATAAATATTTATAACTTAAAAAAGTCAACAGTCTCAGGTGCTTTAGACGGGACTCGAATCGGTAACCTTTCAAAATCTGAGCAATTACTCTTACCAATTGAACTACCCGAGACCTTAGTAGTGACACTGTCTATCTCAAGCAGTACTTTCACTCCAAGAGAATCTCTCTCTCTTTGTTAATGGTCATGGGACCGATGTCTTGTACATTTTTGACTGCTGAACTATTTAAGTATTTTCTATTTAAGATTTATATCAATATACTCGTCTTATTTTTAATGAAAATTTTATCAAATACTAGATGAGCCGGTGTAATTCTTAGTATTTTCATCATTTAAACCTTCCCTGGACTACGACCAACATTACATTACCCGAATTAGCTAAATCGGCGTAGCCGTTCTTTAGTTTTAGCGAGACAAATTACCAAAATATTAAACATGGAATCTTTAGGCACAGACATAAACTCTTTAGATATCTTTTCTATGCCTTTTTCAAAAGCAGCCAAGGAATTTTCATGGCTTATAAAACAAACTCCCACAGATTTGTAAATTAAAATAAATGACATGTTTAGAATTGAAATAGCAAATGGTTACTATAAACTTATGTTTTTATTAATACTGTAATATCTTGGAAACATCACAAAATCATGTTAAAAACAAAACGAGGCTACTTTAAATCAATACTTAAATTTAACAGCTTTATCTGACTTTGCTGTCCTAGCTCCTAATCTTTTATGTGGTAGCAGCCTTCTCCCTTGGATTACATATTCTGTAAACAAAAAAAATTAATGAATTTACACGATATAAATAAATATTTAGCAAAACAATAAACTTTGAACGGATCTAATACGTTTTATTTGTAAATTTTATAAGCGTTTCGGATCCTGCAATGGGTTCCGAGGCCTAAGTTGTTTACTAAATAGGAATATAAGAATTTGGAATATTATTGGTTTTACATATATAGATTCCTCCTGAAATTTGTTTTAAGTCTGGGTTTGTCGACGGCGTGTATGGATAACTTGCATTTATTTATTTATTAAGTACTGCCACTAACATATATTAATAAATATAATTATAACTTAGTCGAAATAAAAAAATACCTGATATATGTCACAATTAAGGGGTACATAGCATTCGCAGTAAAATATTTTATATTTATATTGAATTTTATTTTATATTTATATAGAATTAAACATTTATTAAAAAAAATATTAAGGTTATTTAAGATATTGGAAAATGTATTAAGTAACTAAATGAAATTTGATAAGTAAACTAAATTAAAAATAAAATCAATAAAAAAAGTTGTTCATTACTGATTTATTATCATTATCGTTCTCAAAAACATAGAATTTCCTTTATTTTTCTACTGTTAATTTATCTACTTAAAAATAATTATTTAAAAAAGAACTACTTACATAAACTTATTGTAAAGATTAGTCTTTTACTCGCTGTCAGGATAAGCTTCATTGTCCGATACATCAAAAATATCTAAAACAACAAACGTATAGTTATACCGATGTTTATTTTTTTATCAGTTGATTCAGATTGATTCCAATTTCTACTATTGTAATATTCTATTTTGTTTTTGGCTAATATTTACCAGAGAGGGATATTGATATAGATTTCCAGAGTACTGTAATTCTACCTTTTCCAAATAATTAACATACTATATAGCAGGTTTGATTTGCAACTATAATTGATTTAAAATACTGATGTATTTTTGATGTAATATTTGAAGTTGCTGGTACCTGGCACGCTATCATTGACGGTAGCATCTAACATCAAGCGTCCCGTGCATCGACATACAGTAGAGCTGACACAGACACCGCGAGCATACCCTAAGCGGCGACAGAGATTGTGGCACTGTGAGTTTACGCAGCTACGGGCGTATGTGTCTAGTGTCTGTGCATCTAGTGCGCCATTATCAGATGGGTTATCTTTTTCTGTTGATTGAGAATATATATTAGCATTTCGTTTCTTTTTAAGCATATAAAGATTATCATAAAAAATAATTAATACTGTTTTAAAATGAATGTTTACCCAGGGTGATATCGTCAACGGTAGCATCCATCACTAAACGTCCTGTGCATCGACATACAGTAGAGCTGATGCAGACACCGCGAGCATACCCTAAGCGGCGACATAGATTGTGGCACTGTGAGTTTACGCAGCTACGGGCGTATGTGTCTAGTGTCTGTGCATCTAGTGCGCCATTATCAGATGGGTTATCTTTTTCTGTTGATTGAGAATATATATTAGCATTTCGTTTCTTTTTAAGCATATAAAGATTATCATAAAAAATAATTAATACTGTTTTAAAATGAATGTTTACCCAGGGCGATATCGTCAACGGTAGCATCCATCACTAAACGTCCTGTGCATCGACATACAGTAGAGCTGACACAGACACCGCGAGCATACCCTAAGCGGCGACATAGATTGTGGCACTGTGAGTTTACGCAGCTACGGGCGTATGTGTCTAGTGTCTGTGCATCTAGTGCGCCATTATCAGATGGGTTATCCTTTTCTGTTGATTGAGAATATATACTAGTATTTCGTTTCTATTTAAGCATATAAATTATTACATAAAAATCGTTAATACAAAATATTAAGGTTTTAAAACAAGTGGAATAATTTCAATATTATATAGAAAAACTTGCTCTAAACTATACCTAAGGTGACATCATCCAGATTAGCATCCAGCATTAAACGCCCTGTACACCGACATCTGGTAGAGCTAATGCACACTCCACGAGCGAATCCTTGGCGACGACAAAAAGTGTTGCACTGTGAGTTTACGCAGCTACGGACTGACAACTCTACTGGGTCGCCTGATATATTGTTTATTTCTGAAGAATAAAAAATTGCATTCTTTATATAATTTCTTCAGTCACGGTTCACGCTCCTATTATTGTTTTAATTCAACTGAAGAAAGCAAAAGTATGGCAAAGTAAAGAGTTTATTATGAATTGTTCAAGCTTTTTTCTGTAATGGTTTCACTGAAATGGCTGCTGTACAGTTATTCTTGAATAATTAATTATTCAAGAAAAACTCTTTATGATAGGAATATGATTATTTGAAATATATATTTTATGATATTATGAGGCAAATGCAACCTGCATTTGCCTCATAATATCATTTTATTCATTTTATTGTCAATATTTTGATAAATATATGAAATTAAATAAGTATTTCTCACCATTGGTATCATCTTCATGTGGGTTATCAGTGAGTGGTGTTGCTGTCACTGTATAGAGACATGCGAATATGATCACTGCTTTGGACAACATCTTGCTTGTTTTAGTTAGCTTTTAACTGATAATGAATAATGAATTAATTGCGTTTATATACGGGAGCGATTCGCACGGGGACTTCACCTAAGACGCTGATAAACATTTTTAATCACTCGTTAAGTAGGTGATCGTTCACGACAACCGTAGATTAATCTAGATCACCTAAAGGGTTGTCAATAATTTTTTTTTGCCAATTGAATAAATTATTGATTTCTATGGTTTTAGTACAAGTTGACTCAGGGTCCCGAATGACCTCATGATTCTTTCATATATTTTATTTCAATTTTTATTTCTTTCTATTTTTTCCTCCTCCTTAACCATCCATAAATAACGCCTGAGCCCAGGGGCTGTTGACGAAGGAGGAACTGCAGGCAGTGGAGACGTAAAAAGGGCTGATGATGATGATGATTGTTTGCTTTCTAGGTATAACCTTCAATTTTGATGATATGATTTTGCTCCTTTTCTAGCTAAATCCCGTGCGGGGTAGACAGAATATATAGATGGTAAGTACTTTAAAAGAAATTTTGAATTGTTTTTGTTTTTTAAAGACGCAGCCCTCAACATTTCGTTTTTATTGGTGCAGTCTGAAAGATCTTACTGAAAGATCAATCGATAAGTGTTTAATCGATTGTTTTCGTTTCCTGTAACGTATTGCGTCGAATTAACTCGTTTGGTAACTTATCACACAAACAACTTTACTTATCATATTGCAGATATCTTGAATTAGATAAAGATAATAAGATTTTAATGATTTTTTTTTAAAATCTTCATAATAGGGTTATTTTAACAGCTCGCCGAATTCATTATTTAGCTTGAAGATGAACAAAATTATCTAATTATGTATGTTTGGTAACACTTCATTACTTTCCTTGACTTTGCATACGGTACCACACTCATGAGGTTAACATTCGCACAGGATTAAAGCTTATACGTCTAAATATATATAACTCAAAGGTGACTGACTGACATAGTGATCTATCAACGTACAGCCCAAACCACTGGACGGATCGGACTGAAATTTGGTATGCAGGTAGATGTTATGACGTAGGCATCCGCTAAGAAAGATTTTTGATAAATTCTTCCCCCAAGGGGATAAAGTAGGGGATGAAACTTTGTCAATTTTAAACCAATCGTGCTGAGACTTTGCATGCATTAAAGCCCCTTCCAGACGCCACAATTTTTCGCCCAATTTGACTAGATTGACAATCGAATCGGGTCATCTGGACGGAAATATGAAATTCAAGGTCATTGGGTGGTCGTTATCGCCCGATTTGAGATTGCCCAATCAAATTGGGTGATGTGGAAGGAAGCGGCGTGCTAAGCGGATGTATGCGTGCGTTGACTTGATTTTGTTTGTTGTGTATGTTGCCAGCAGTAGCCAGTTGTGAACGTTGTTGTGTAGTACAATCAGGATGGAGGAATATAACGATATGCCATCTATTCGGTCCGAACGGAAATTAGTGGAGGAGATTTTAAACACGTATAAAGACCTACCATGTCTTTGGGATATATCCCATGAATTATATAAAAATAAACAGGCAAGGCATAATGCCTTGGAGATTTTGTTAAATAAGTGGAGAAATATTGACAATAAAATAACGTTGGAGTCGGTGAAAAAGAAATTGGAAAACATGAGAACTACCTTTTTAAGGGAACATAAGAAGGTATGTAATTAAAACTGTTTAAATATAAGTACCTTTTTTACATTTATTGACCTTAGTCACCATAACGTTAATTATAGATAGTTAGGTATTTGGTGCATCATTTTGCTATCGTTCTTTCAATACATACCTATTTAATATTTATGCATCGTATGTGTACCTACATAGTAATATGTAAATACTGTACCTATGATTCGGAATGTTTGGAAAGAAGTGTCCATAAATGCAATATTTTAATTTTTATTTTACAGGTGGAAGCGAGTAAGACAACAGGCGCAGCTGCTGCGAAATTTATAAACCATCATTATGGTATTATGAGAACATGATGTTTTTAATTGAAAATCATACTGCTAAAAGAGAGGGTGTAGACTCCATTGAAACAGAAGAAACTAGTGACGTAAGTTTTATTATATTCTATAATCTAATATTAAAGTCATCATACAAAATTAATCACAGCGGGCTATATTTGCCATTCGTTCTTGAAAATCAACAGCTCCAGCCCCATTAAAAAATGTAGTAAATATTTCTCGCACGCGTTTTCCATCCTCGGTCTTTGGTTATTACCTTGAAGGCTCAGTAATTGTGGATGTTCCCGCCATTGTCCTGGTTGCAATTTGTTAGTATCAAAATCTTCGTGATCAACACAAGAATGTGAAATATAATCTTTTGATTTTTGTCTTAAAAAATTGTGTAAATAGCAACTGGCTTTAACTACTTTGTCCACATTATTCCAATTTGTCCAATACGATAAATTCTGATGTCCCTGATACGCTCTGCATTTTTGTACATTTTTTTATATTGTGGAGAAAAATAAAGAAATATTATTATTATTATTCAAGTTTAGCGAAATTGGTTTTTGAAAGATTCTGAAACGTGTTTTCAACCACTCTTCTTGCTCTGGAAAGTCTGTAGTTGAAAATGTTAGTTTCCTTTGTCAGTCCTTTCTGCGGATATGGTTTTAGGATATGTTTATTGATGGCAAATGCGCTATCTCCGATGAACACATATGCAGCTAATGTATCTGTAACTGATAAAACAGATTCTTGAGGAAGATTTAATTCACCTATCACAAGCTTTTTGTAAAAATTGGTATTCTTTAAAATTCCATCATCAGACACACTTCCATTAGCTCCTGTATAAATATATAAGAAGTCATAGTTAGCATTTACCACTGCAAATTATACCACGCTAAAAGTTCCCTTATAGTTATAAAACAATGACCCACTATCTGGAGGCTTTATTATATTAATATGTTTGCCATCCATACTACCGATGCAGTGAGGAAAGTTCCACATTGTCTCATACTGTTTTACTACTTCTAACCATTCTTCTTCTGTTTCAGGAACTTGTAAAAAGAAGCAAAAGAAATAAACAAATAGATATACAAAGTAAGCAGCTCAAACTTCTGGATTCTGCAGAAAAAATGTTACTGCATGAAGAAGATACCACAGAAAGTATAGCGAAAGCTTTTGCTTTGCAACTTAAAGACATGTCAAAATTACAAAGAATAATTGCAGAGAAATTAATTTCTGAAATAATGTTTTATGGTAAACTAGATCAGTTAACAGTTAATTCTTCTATAAATTTGAATCGTATAGCATCTTCTCAGTCTCCATCACCATCACCAGTAAATAAAAATAATTTACAGACCCGAAGACATATCTACATGCCAATATCGCCTGCCTCGGAATACAGATATACCTATACGCCATCACCATCCCAATCACCAGCCTCTCACATATACGAGCATACAGCATACATTGAAAATAATAATGTCTCATGTAATTCAGTTGTATTATCTATTCCTGAAATTGACTGTCAAGTACTACCTACAGAAACCCAAATGAGCTCTACGCAATATACTTCAGATTTGCCTATAGGAAACCAATCAATCTTCACACCACAGTTCACCACTCCACAGCTCTTCACTCCACACCCCACACTAAAAGCGAATATTATATATGAAGGGGATGGAAAACTAATTAAAAGATTTTCTGATCTTGCCTAAGAAACCATAGAACCTTTTATACAAATGTATTTTTATATAAAAGTTTCTATGGTTTATTATTATTAGCAGTATTTTTAGGAATTACTAAGTACTACTTTAAGTTAAGGTTATTTTTAATAGTAGGTAAGTATAACTGTAACTTTAACAGAAATAAAAATATTTTCTTACATGTATGTATTTTTTCAAGACCTTACATATAACATCACATGTTTCTGGTATAATCTCAGATATTAATTGTGTAGAAATTGCACTGCAAAATCTCAGTTCCTTATAGTCCCTTCCTGATCCTAAATACTTGAATGTAACTATTAAACGCTCCTCAGAAGTAACAGCTTCTCGCATTATAGTGTTTTGCTTAGTAATATACGGGCTTACTAGAGTCAATAATTCACGAAAAGTGTCATGATCCTCATAAAATTTCTAAAATCGTCACTGTCCAGCTCTCTTACTATATTTATGTGACTCAGTCGGTTTCTTTTTAGCAACCATTCTTTGCTCCATATCCTTCTTTTTCTTTTTCTTGGTAAGAGGCATCTTGATAATATAGTAGTCCGGTCAGTAGAGGCAGCGGCACAGAACTAAAATTGGCGATTTAATTGTGTAGGTGTGGATGGCCGATCAGATTGTGCCCGATTGGGACGGCAATCAAATCGGCTGATTAAATTGTGTCGTCTGGAAGGGGCTTAAGCTACTATGATGTCGGCATCTCCTAAGAAAGGATTTTCATAAATACCACCCCTAAGGGTATAAAATAGGGGATGAAACATTATTTCAGGTATTTTATACGTATTATATATTAATAAATATTCATTAGAAATGTTGCTCAAAGTAACTTTACCACGCGGACGAAGTCGCGGGCAAAAGCTAGTATTACATAAACGTAAAAGTAGGTTTAATTTTTGATACGATTTCTTTTAGAATATACGTGATTAAATTGACGTCATATTGAAAGTTTTAGAGAAGTCAAATACTAGTAGGAAGGGGTGAATTTGTTTTTTGTTACAATTTCGGTTAGAATGGAATTCTTTAGGAATCCATAATTTTGTAATAAATTCATATTGTCATTTATTATTCGAAAATGGTGGTATTTAAAAGTGTCTATCGTGCTTCTATAAAAAAAGAAAAATAATACGCATCTCAAAGGCGACTTTCGCTTTTGAGATGCGGAGGTTTTCTGTAGGTTATTAATTAAATGATAGACTTTAAATTCGACTTCGGCGTTAGAAGTTGGTTCTTTTTTTTTTAAGTTTTTGTTTCATGGTTTTCGGTGATATTGATATTTTTTATATCGTAGGTAACACTAAAATATCTTTATATATCGCGTTATAATCACTTCAGCCAAACGCGAGAAAATCGCCTAGACGCGGACAATATATACAACACGTGTTAAAATACGAACCCTCATTTTTTTAGTCAGTTAATATACCTAAAACCTACTTCCGAGTCTGTCAAATGCTATGCTGATAACGGTTCAGCTAAACGCGAGATAATCGCGCACAAAAACACATTTAAATTCCGAAAATATTCGCTCGTCGATTGATTATGTTAAAGTTGGTTTTCAGTGTGTTCACACACCATCCTGGCAACGTGTATGTCGAGTCTTAAATTTAAATTCTATATTTTTAAATAATGTTACGTTTGATCGGATGTTTTCTCAACTTGCAACCACTTTGTTACTCTGCTAATGTTATTGATATATGAACAAATATTAATGTATGTAATGTATATAATGTATGTACAAATATAAATGAAATAATAAACAAATATTAATAAGTGGTTATGGGCCGCCACTTATGTTGCAAGTGAAACCTGTAACTTACAAAAAAAAAGACGAACTCACATTCACCAATGCTTGCAATGATGCTTGTGCTCACGCAAAAATATACTTCGCCTACGAAGAGTCTGTCTACCCAACCTTAAGGTCAGCTAAAAAAGCTGAAGATACATTTGAATGTCTCAAGAAGACGTACGCTGACAGCGACATATGTTAGGCCACCGAAAAGACTTGGACCACTGAAAAGTTATTTTTGCAATGGCTTGCTTAAAATGTCGGCTATTTTCAAAATACCGTCATTGAATGTTGTGGGTAATTTAAAGGGGGTAATGAGTAATATTTTTTCTGCATTATCTAACTTTCATAACTATTTTGATATTATAATTGAGTCGTTTTTATTCATTTCAAGTCATTCAAAATAATTCTTTACAAACAAAGATGTCGTCAACACCTTTTACCAACTCAATATACAATTTAGCTAAATATTGTTAATTAATTTTAATAGTTTGTCTCTTGTGGTTATAATCACAATCAGTTAATTGGCTTTGGACGTAATACTATTTAAAAGCGAACAGGATTAAAACAAAATAATCAATATTAGACATGTCAATTATAAAATATGAAATTACAAAATATGAAGTGACCCAGCGGGCTCCTTGCCGAATCCCGGGATCCTTCCCCCCAGGAGGGTGCTGGGTTTTGCCAGGTAGGCCGGTCTTGCTTAAGCCTGTACTTTTCAGGACAGGTGCGTGGTCGTAGAGGCCTGATTTAAGGCTTAAGATTGCATTCCCCTGCGTTAAAAAAGGTAATTATTATAAGTGCAGCCATGATGATTTCAATTTCGAAAACTGTTTTCTAGGAATTTTGAGATGAATCAAAACGCTTTTTGGTTATTTATTTGCTTTATTAAAAATAGGTGTTTTATTAGCTTTTTGTAAATCAATATAATTTATTATCATCAAAACGACCTCCACAGCTGAGTAGATCGCACGCCGGTTTCAAGGTGTCGCCATTTCTGAGGTACCGGGTTCAATGTAGAAAATGAACTATTATATGTTGTCTCGGGTCTGGGTATTGTGGCACCTTCGTTGTCTCAGATACTCCATAGTATTTTACTCATCTTGGAATCAGATTGGAAGCATTGTTTGTTTGTTTAAACATAATAATTATATATATTATGAGTTTTGTATTGGTTAAAGCCAAACTCCGCAAATTTTATCAAAAAGGATTAAGCATTTTTACACAGTATGCTTTGATTAAAATCAAAATTCTTATATTTATAAATATGATACTTCATTTGCTGTACCTACTAAAACTCATCAATGTACCTCTCTATAGTAGGCGATGCTTGAGGACAGCGCGAAAACCACTTGCTCTACGGCAAATAATTTAAGAAAATAACGTCTACTTCTAATAAATTCAATTTCGTTACTTTAACCAATGATATTGAATTCATTAACTAACCATTCGTATACATTTTAGATGAGCACCAAGATAGCGGCATCGAAATTAACTTCTTTATTTATAAAGACGATATTTGTTTAGTTGAAGGTTAAAGCAGAATGACAAAAGTTCGTGTCATTGGAAAGGATTACAGTTCAGACATTTTACCTCGATGTACCTTTAGTCCACTTGGAGGAGAGATTTTATCACCACCTATGTCTCGATCGAATCAAAGACTTTGTCGTAGTTCACGAATGCCGGTTATAGTGTCTGGTTATACTCTTCGGATTTCTGTATAACTTGCCGCAGCGTATGAATATAGTCCATGGTACTAGAGGTATAGCTTTTTCGGAATCCAACTTGTTCGGGAGGTTGGAAGTCGTCCAGCCTGCGAGTGAGATGATTCATAATGACCCTTTAGAATAACTTATAAATATGGCTCAAAAGCGAAATCGGCCTATAGTTTTTAAGGAGTGCTTGCTTTATCATCTTTTTTGAAAAACAGGACGACCTTACTCCCACTCCATGCTTTCGGCATTTTACCCGCGAGAATAACGGAACTGAAGAGCTTCTAGACGACTTCAAGTATTGGCTTACCGTCTGCTTTCAGAAGCCCTTAGGTGATTCCATCGTCACCCGCTGACTTATTGTTTTTCAGTTGTTTAAGAGCCATACTAATATCATACGGTGTCGGGTAAAAGTGTCGGGTAAGCTTTGCTCTAGGATCTCTTGGCTTGCTTTCGGCAGTTGTTTGCTTTTATTTTATTATTTTAAATCTTAAAGGAGTTTAAGATTTCCTTTTCCGACGAGATGATGCTACCGTCGTCAGATTTCTGCCTAGTCAATTGGGTTTGTCCAATAGCCAGATCTTTCGCGAACACTTCTTCCGCAGCCTTTGTTCCGCTCAATTGTCTCTTTAATACGTTACTTATTTTTACTCCTTTTATCTCATTATTATATTCGATCAATTTTGCATTCACAATGCTATACTGAAAAATGTTCTTAATGACAAATGTTAAAAAAATTCAGTTTGTCCCTGGCACTTTGAGATGGGACTCGAACCCATAACCTAACAGGACTGACGAATCTTTCAAGCAACCATGTATAGCTGCGCTGACGATCCGGGGTATGCGGTAATGTATTTTCCATCGACAAAAAAAGGGCTTTTACCACTTCAGTTTAAATCGATATGTGATTGGCAATTAGAATTAAAACGACAATTGTAAGTTTATTTTTTTATTAATACTGTAGCATCAATATATTATCACAATCGTACTTAATCTAGAAGAAATACTTAAAACTAACAAGGTGGAAACGACGATAAAGTTTGATTAGCAGTAGGCTTCTATCCTACGCGTAGTATTCTGTAAACAAAAAGACATATATTATTTTAAATTACACGTTCAAAAATCTAGCGCTAAATAAGTCACCGATCTTCTGCTTTTGTTATTGGTGGAGTTGCTATTGCTTCGACAATCATTATTATCGGTCTAATGTGTTTAATTTGTATCTTTTTAAACGTTTTGGATCCTTTGTAGGCTTGCAGGCCCAAGTTGTTTTATGGAATGAGTAGTGAATGATATTTTAAACTTCCTCTGTACATATATGTACTTTTTATGGCTGGGTATATGTCGTGAGTGGAAAACATGCAATCTTGTTCCACTGCTACTACTATTTAATTTAAACTTTCTTGAATTCCAAAAGAAATATTAAGAACAATGCAACTACTTGGAAGAAGGAGCAGCTCAATGGCGCAGTGTTTAATTGTCTAGTTGTGGAAGATGAGCAACTTTTGCAAGGGTCAGTCATATAATTTAACTAAAAAATTATTACCTCAAGCTCCTCCGTGCTTTGGAAGACATGTTAAGCTGTTAGTCTCGGCTACATCTGCAGTGGCTAATACCCATCAATCTGCACTGGACCCGCGTGGTGGGTCATAGCCCATTATTCCATTCGATCTATCCATAGGGCAGGCCTGTACTCTAGCAGTGGAGACATTGATAGGATGGTAATGAAGTACTTACATGAACTAATTTTAAAGAATATCGGCCCTGTCGTCTTGAATAGTTGAGTCGCTGTCGGGATTCACTTGTTCGTCCGTTTTGTCGAAAATATCTTAAAAAAATAAATATTTAATCACTTGTACTATCAGCTATAGTCTAAATGTGTATATGTCTGTAAAAGTCTAAAATTAATTGTTATTAGTATAACATATATGGTTATTTTATTATCAGTTGATTTAGACTATTCTATTTTCGTCTTATTTATTGTATTCTGAATTGTTTTTTGTTGAATGTGTATCAGGATTGGATTTAATTATTATTATATTTTCAGAATGATTATATTAATTTATAAATTATTGTGAATTTATTTCCAATTCATATACTGGTATATTTCTTAGTCTTTTTTTTTAGATTTTTAATTTTGATAACATTGTATTCTCGGGTTTGACTTGCTAAAGGGTTTTATTTTAAAACACGATAAAAATGTTTCTGGTACCTGGCACGCTATCATTGACGGTAGCATCTAACATCAAGCGTCCCGTGCATCGACATACAGTAGAGCTGACACAGACACCGCGAGCATACCCTAAGCGGCGACAGAGATTGTGGCACTGTGAGTTTACGCAGCTACGGGCGTATGTGTCTAGTGTCTGTGCATCTAGTGCGCCATTATCAGATGGGTTATCTTTTTCTGTTGATTGAGAATATATATTAGCATTTCGTTTCTTTTTAAGCATATAAAGATTATCATAAAAAATAATTAATACTGTTTTAAAATGAATGTTTACCCAGGGTGATATCGTCAACGGTAGCATCCATCACTAAACGTCCTGTGCATCGACATACAGTAGAGCTGATGCAGACACCGCGAGCATACCCTAAGCGGCGACATAGATTGTGGCACTGTGAGTTTACGCAGCTACGGGCGGATGTGTCTAGTGTCTGTGCATCTAGTGCGCCATTATTAGATGGGTTATCTCTTTCTGTGGATTGAGAATATATATTAGCATTTCGTTTCTAATTAAGCATATAAAGTTTCACATAAAAAAATAATGAATACTGTTTTAAAATGAATGTTTACCCAGGGTGATATCGTCAAAGGTAGCATCCATCACTAAACGTCCCGTGCATCGACATACAGTAGAGCTGATGCAGACACCGCGAGCATACCCTAAGCGGCGACATAGATTGTGGCACTGTGAGTTTACGCAGCTACGGGCGTATGTGTCTAGTGTCTGTGCATCTAGTGCGCCATTATCAGATGGGTTATCTTTTTCTGTTGATTGAGAATATATATTAGCATTTCGTTTCTTTTTAAGCATATAAAGATTATCATAAAAAATAATTAATACTGTTTTAAAATGAATGTTTACCCAGGGTGATATCGTCAACGGTAGCATCCATCACTAAACGTCCTGTGCATCGACATACAGTAGAGCTGATGCAGACACCGCGAGCATACCCTAAGCGGCGACATAGATTGTGGCACTGTGAGTTTACGCAGCTACGGGCGGATGTGTCTAGTGTCTGTGCATCTAGTGCGCCATTATCAGATGGGTTATCTTTTTCTGTTGATTGAGAATATATATTAGCATTTCGTTTCTTTTTAAGCATATAAAGTTTCACATAAAAAATAATTAATAGTGTTTTAAAATGAATGTTTACCCAGGGTGATATCGTCAACGGTAGCATCCATCACTAAACGTCCTGTGCATCGACATACAGTAGAGCTGATGCAGACACCGCGAGCATACCCTAAGCGGCGACATAGATTGTGGCACTGTGAGTTTACGCAGCTACGGGCGTATGTGTCTAGTGTAATATCATTGTACGTGTTATCTTTTTCTGTGGAACAAAATATGGATTTTATATAGCTTATTTTAAATTTAGTAAAAATATATTTAGATTTCATTTTAGATTCGTAAACATGACTGCACGTTGCCACAACATGTCAAATTTTTCAAGTTGATTTTAAACTCTACCCTTAAAATATTAAGGTTTCAAAACAAGTGGAGTAATTTGAAGATTTGTATAGCCTGACGTGCTATTAACTCAAATATATTTTTTTTTAATATTTTGAGGCAAATGCAGGGCATATTCTTTTTATTGTCAATATTGTGACAAATATATGAAATAAATAAAGTATTTCTCACCATTGGTATCATCTTCATGTGCGTTAACAGTGAGTGGTGTTGCTGTCACTGTATAGAGGCATGCGAATATGATCACCGCTTTGGACAACATCTTGCTTGGTTTAGTTAGCTTTGAACTGATAATGAATAATGAATTAATTGCGTTTATATACGGGAGCGATTCGCACGGGGACTTCACCTAAGACGCTGATAAACATTTTTAATCACTCGTTAAGTAGGTACGATTAATCTAGATCATCTAAAGGGTTGTCAAATATTATTGTAAGGTTGCCGATCGAATAGTTGATTCATTCTTTGGGTTTAGTACAGAGTTCAGTTTAACCCCATGTCATAAAAGTCTTTAATATTATTTCGTTTTTTTTCCAATACAATATGTTATTTTTTTGTTTGCTTTACGTGTGGTGGACCATGTTTAGGGGAATTAAAGTAGTGATTTATATACGCCTGTTTCTTGACGAACTTTAATTTACAACATTTGCAAAATGTCTTTACGTGTGATATTTGTTTCGTTTTATTTTCCATATGAATTATTCGTATTGTGACGAAATCATGCCCAATCCGGAGTATCGTTTAGCAATGGTGTGTTCACCTATGAATTTTTATGGAATACTAGGTCTGGCCCGTGACTTCGTCTGCGGCAGTGGAAGTATTATTAATAAATTAAATTTTATATGCTATCTAGAGGTAGAGTTTCATACCATCTCTATGCCATTTAAAATTTTCAAATTAAAATTGATTCAGTGGTTTAAAGTATTTAGTAAAAAATTTAAAGTATTCCTCTGTCGCAATTTTATAATTTCTATATAATAATTTTTCTGGGTTTATATAATAAGTTTTTAGTGCGACGATTTTCGACGTGAACGGATTATTTATATTTTTTAGTTTTTGACGTCATAGACTTGAAACTGACGGAATTTTTCCACTCCCAATGTGATCGGGCTCAAAAAAATGGAAAATATATTACCAAAAAAATCCCATTAGATATGTAGTATTACGTATTCGCCGGATGCGAAGTAGGTGGTGAGAGAACCATTAATCGATCGCAGCACGCACCGTGACGAAAAAAGGAACTGTTGTCAGACAAACTGTTACTTTTTACTAGAGAAATTGTCGCATTTTAAATAAAATAAATGAACTTGCGTCACGAAACCTGCTGCGTAGTTAATGGCAAAATAGTAATCGATATTGAAAGGATAATCTCTATCAAATATTATATTAACTTCCTGCGAATTTGTTATGCCGTATTCATGGTATTTTGCATATTTGTATTAGTAAATTTGCAGTCCTCAATATTTTTTAATAAATAAGCCCGTGAATGTTTTTTAAAACCATTTTCTAGATTTTTATTATATTTCTAAGAATAATATTGAAATAAAAAGCCATAATGCAGTTTACTTTAATACAATAATAATATAAATAGTAGTAAGTGTTTAATTCTATATAATTGAAACATCAATATGTAACCTATTATATTCAACACTTTACTAATGATTTTTACATCTTTAACTGTTTCGGTAAAATTTATTATCTGCTTTTATTTTTGTTTGTTAGTGGAAAACTGTGCCGTATGTCGCTGGAAATCAAGTTTTTATAATTAATTTGGTATGTTTAAATGAAAATACAAAAAAGTCTGCATTATTAACGATAATTCACAAATGATTGATATTATGCGAAATGCGTTTTTAGATTTTTGTTAACTTCGTTACTTGTTTCAACAGTACAGATTTACATGATCGAATAGAATCTATGTGAATTATGATATTTCATTGAAATGATTGTTTATTTACTATTTGCACTATACGCAAGCCATTTGATATATCAAAGTTTCCACATCATCTTATGGTTGACTGGTAGAAAATGCCTACGTCATTAAGTTCACCATTGCACATTTATTTGAGAAGTATCAATAAATATATAAAACAAACAAACTTACAAAGAGCAAGCAAATCTGCTCTATTGCTCATAACTGGAGACTAATTAATGAAAACACATTTATGAATATTTTTATTGGATTTGACTGAGAATGCTACTAAATGCTCCACTGAAAGATTTGACTCGAATAATGACATTGTATAGAATAGGTGATTACTTTTATATTCACCATTGGGATGTTAATTGAGAATTTTGCTGGCAATAAACTGGAAATTAATACCTACTTTTGTTTGTAGTACATAGATGATCAAAAAGTAATTTTAATTAAAATAAAATATTTAAAAAACATAGATTTGCCTAACACTCCCAGTTAATTACCACTTTGGGAACGCTGCTGGCAATGTTCCCCGAAAAAATCCAGTTCTTGGCAATATACCTGGGCACAATACATCACTACATGGAGCATTTGCAGCGACGGAATGTTGAAATATGAATATAGGTGTCTCAAAGAATATTGTGGAGATTTTTGGATTTTTATTGAAGCAGCCCTAAGATCATTCAAATTGATAAATGTATAATCTCGATCAATTGTTTTTTTCCTGTACCGTATTGCGACGAACCTCATTTCGTATTTAATCAAATAAACAAATCTACCTATCGTACTGCCGATATCTTGTCATAGATATGGGTGAATTTTAAAGGGACTTTCCTTTCCTTTTCTAATGACTGCTGATATTTTCAAAACATATGTAATGTAGGTTATCCTGATTAACGACAAAGTAAAAAAGATAAATATTTAAGTAAGTATTTTTGACTATTACTTATTTGCGTGGCTTTGTTTGTGCCAAATGAAGCGTTAATTCAAAATTTTAAGTTTACAAAAAACTACTACTAGTATTCAAAGATGATACACATTTCCTGAAGACCTTCAGAAGATACAATTTTTCAAACAGAGAAAGGATTCATCAAAATTCGCCTTCTATTGATAAACATATACAAAACTGTTTATTTCTACACGATAAAAAAGAAACTGAAATCAACACACAGCCTTTTCTGTTCAAATGTGACAAAATAGCAGATAATAAAAAGTTGCGCAAGCTACATGCGCAACTTTTTATTATCTGCTAATTTTTTTTAAAAGCTTCATTGTTAAAATTCATTTATTCTCTTTTACATGTCCGCTTTTGGGTATCAAACTATTACTCAAAAGTAGTTTCCGAGCAAATCAGCTTAAAAACAGTTGAATTGATATAATAACCATTTTCTTTTTAAAATCAGTTAAAGGGTCAGTCCACCACTGACACAAGATCCGTCAACTACATCTCAAAATTATAACTAAGTTCGTATGACGGAATTTTCAGCCAATTATACAAGGTTGAGGAATTCGATAGTGCAGTGGTATACTAAGCAGTAAGTTAAGCAACTTTCACAATGTCACTTGTATCTTTTTTTGCTGTGTGACAAGTGGCGCTGTTTCTGTTTCATGGTTCTTTTGTTTGCTGAAAATCAGTGTTTAGATTCCCGAGCAAAATTATCGCTGAGCTGTAGCCATTTTGTATCGTTACGGCCATTTTGACTTTATAGACCATTCTAGACTTTTAACACGTTATTGTTTCAGGCTTAGTTGCACCATTGAATGTACACCGTTGAATGGTAAATAATAACCGCTTAAGTTTCGGTGGTTAAAGTTATTGTTTCACTATGATAGAAAAGGGGATGGTGCAACGCATTCTACAGTCAAAGTCGGCGTGAGAGATATAATATTATAATAACCTTAATTTTACCTGCCATTATATTGCAATCCAACCTCAGATGTGTGCTGTTCGTACAAATAAACTTTCCATCTTACAAGATTTTCTAAAAACTTAAAAGATATGCATATCACGGTGAGAGTGGACCTGAAATTATTTTTGTTGAACGCACAAAAGCTGATGCTGAAGTCTTGATTTTACATAAATGATTTTTTACATATACTTACTTCTTTGTTTCGTTATTATAAAGTTATAAACTAAAACTATGATAAGAAAATTATGTTTTACCAAAACAAGAATTGTTAAATGATCTCAAATTATATCATAAACTATTACCCGAGTGGCTAGCACGCCAATCTCAAGGTATCGCCATCTAAATTTCCTTATATTCGATTTCCGGCCGGGTCAATATAGTTTTTTTTTCTATCGTATATTGTGCTTTAGTTACTCTACTTGGGATCTGCTTTGGCATTCTGTAAAAAAATCGTCTTCAAAAGATAATAAATATTTTAATCCATTAAATCTCTAGGCTGTAACAGCAAGTGCTCGACGCTGATTTCTCTACAGAATAGCAAAACTGAGTAATGTATGTGATGTCTGATGTTTATTAATTTATAAGTAATACTTAGAATTTTCTTTGAAATCTATAATTAATAAGAAGATTGATGAGTATTGATCGGTTTGCTTTATAAATTGTTAATTATAATAATAAATTTTATCAACGAGAAGTGAAATTAATTTCAATCATAAAATAACTTTCATCATTTATGAAGCGCGGTAGAGAAAAGGAAAAACTGATCAATCATATTATGGAAATTATTCAAAGAGAGAGTAAGGTAAATATGTAATTTGATAAGTGGTAAATAGAGCTCCCCAAAATTATATAAAGTTTGACTAATTGATTTATTAACAATGAATTCAGTTCAGCAGTCGAAGTAGACGGAATTTAATATTTACCCGTACTGCATGTTAAGTAGTTAATAAATCCTAGGTGCAATACACATTATTTGTTTTATTAGTTTATGATGACGTCATTTTCGATCATAAAAAGCCGTCTACTGTAAATAGTTATTTAATCAACAATTGATTTCTAAATCATTAAATTCTGTTTGTTTTTGATATTATTACACGGTATTGTATTTGTACTGTATGATAGTATTGTATAGTGACAAGCAATGGAGTATTTACTTTCAGGTTTGCGTTACAAATAGGTTCATTTCCAAATTTCGTTGCAATTGTTAGGTTATCCTAGTTGAAGGCAAGGTCAATTCATACACTACAGTACAAATAGCGGTTAATTTCAAGGCAAGACCTTTAAATGTAACCTTGTAATTTCAATTGTCTTATGGACATCGGAGCAGTTTTATAATGTTAATCTTCCAAAAATTACTTACTTTATATTATCATTGAACTCTTTGTAACTATCTGATAACAATGTCACTAAAGAACTCTAATAGACTATCAAAATCATTAAGACCAATAATAAGGACAGCAATTAATTCAAATTACTAAAAA